GCGGCAGAGGCGGCGGTGGTCTCCTCCTCTCGGACTTGGTGCGTGCCTCTTTCGGCACCTCATCGAGCCCAGCCTCGGCGCCGACGGCACCGGATTCGCAGACCATTGGGATCGGCTCTATCGGCCGATCCGTGGTAGCCGGGTCAGCCTCTTCAGTAGTTGTGCCGGCTTCTGTCGGGCCTGTCGGTTGCACCGCATCCGACGTGTTGCCAGGCCCTGTCGGATCGAGCATTCTGAGTTAGTAGGTCTTCGGTCGGCTGGTATAAAGTTGTGTGCTGCATGTAATACCAATTCCGGGGCCCTTTGTCTCATCCTGTCCAAGTTGAGTGGAGGTTTGAGAGCGATTTTAATCTCTTGTCCCCCTACTCCACAAGCATGGCCTCTCTCTCTCTCTTCGAACCACGCTTTAAGGGTCAACTGTACATCACCGCCAACTCGAATGCGTTTATTTACAAATTGTTTTGCCAAGATGGTATCGTCTTTGGTTTGGCTGCCTCGTTAGAATTGATGTGAGGACTTAAATTTCATGTGGTACTGCATGATGAAGAGATTGTTGGGTCAATCTCAACAGAAGACGTCGGCTGACGTTTCCGATAAAGACGGGCGGAACCTTGCAAAAGCCTCAAGTTAACATTAAATCAAGAAGACCAACCTGCTTTTTCCACATGATATATGTACTCATTGGGAACAAAATTTAAGATAAATATATATATAGCTAGATTTGGCTAATTTATGTATACTCGAGTGTCTTTATATCCATCTATAGCTTCAATATTATGTAGAAAAAAGTCGGTCAGTCTTCTTGACTTAGTGTTGACTTGAGGCTTTTGCAAGAATGAGTCCCAGCTATGAATGGGCTCGTCATGTGGGATGACAAACGAAAGGTTAGTTTATCTTCGCCCGAAATGTTGGAGGATGTCTCGTGGACTGCATCAACCTGAACGTCGTAATAATACCAAACGGCTGCAGTACAACGCAAATCAGCCGACGTCTTCTGGTTAGATTGACCTGCCAATCTCTTCATCTTGTACATCCTTACGAGTTGATAGTCTTTACATCAGTCTTGTCTCGGAAGATTCTTCCGAATTCGCATTTTCTTCGTCAGCATTTGTTTGACCTCGCCATTGCTATTCAGTTTTGTCGTCTGGGCTACTTCGAAGAACGCATCACCAATTGTCATTTTGCCATCAAATTCGCTCCGTTGACACTTGGTCAGCGTCGTCGATGAGACGCAACATGATACAATTCTTAAAAGTGCCAAAAAACGATGAGCTGAGGCATTATTATTGGACTTTTGTGTTCTCGCTGTCTTTCTAATTCACACAGACTTGGTTACTTTATCTGATCTAATTTAGATAGCATAATTATTACTGTATCAGTTACCATGGCATTTTTGCCAACATTTCACTGGCGTTTTTGTGTCGGTCTTGTTAGTGCCATTCCTACTGATGATGCTGGAAAATCTGGAGTCGCTTTGAGAATTTCACATGAAATTGCAAATT